ATACCATATGAGATATAAAGAACATGTAAAAAATCCGGATAAGATAGGATCCTTTGAAACAATGCGAAAAATTGAGAGGATTATTGGTCAACCAACCTTACCTTATATATCAGAAGCTGATCGATTAATACTTGAAAATTTTCAAAAAACGTGGAATGAATCAGTTAATATATTCTATACATCATGTGAAGTGAAGATATGTTGAGACATATGATAACAAAAAAGATGACCCACCCGAAGCAGATATTGATGAGATCATCGATCTATATTGTTGAGTACTTCACTAATGGTCCAATATTAGTGATACTTATACAATAATAATATTATATTTTTCGTACATAATTAATAACGAAGTTCAAATAGATCCATTAATAAGTATAGTCATAGTCCCTCGATACTTGCAGTGTATCACGACATCTCCCACAGACCATCCAAGGATATTCAAGATTCAAAGATGCCGATTGATTATAGTTCTTTTTCCCATGAGCAGTGATCCGATAATTTGGGTATTTTTCCATCAAATCTCCTATACTCACATTCTCATTTTTTGTCACATAGGCTTTATGAATACCATCTATCATAACCTTTATTGTATTCTTATCATATGCATTAGAAGGCTCCAGTTCAAGAGTGATGATATCCGATTTCTTAAATTTATGTCCACCGCAGAATCTCATCCCTACCACCATAAAGGAATGTGTAACAATGCAATCTGTATACAACGGTGACGATATTTCCTTACAACTACAACAAATACTAAGCATGATTAAAAATTATTATATTTTTGTATACGAATAATATCCAAGTTCAAATAGATAATATCTGTTATCCGATCCACATATTCCGCAACTAATCACTTTTTTTCTCCATTTCCCATGTACGTCTCAATATCAGGAACCATATCACTGCAATGATTAACAAGGTAAGAAGGATATATGCCGATAGAGGTGACATCAGCGGAGCTGGCATGGCCAAAGTACTTGCCATAATAGGAATAGCTTCTATCCCTCCTACTGAAATCTGAGGATGTGATTTGCCATGATAATGGCGTTGTTCTGCAACAGGCTCTGCGGGTATATTATTTTCCCGTCGTGCAAAATGTGAGGTCACATTCTCTGGTGTAATTGATAATGCATCAGGTTTTATCCATGCATCTAGCATATTATTGCTTTGCAAGCCGAAGGCATCACCACTGTGGCATAGAACTTTGTCCCTATCTTTATTAGTTTCATTATCACTTACCTTGGGAATAATCTCGGTATCGACTTCTGGTAGTAAGGCATAGCTTCGAATCACTGATTCCTCAGGTATAGAGGTGATCTTATCATCAGTATGATCCGATATAATAGTATCAATTTTTTCAAGTGCGTTAGTTCTGCTATCTTGGCCGTGCCAGCTCTGCCGATCCATATCTTTATTTTTTACTAAATATTGATTGAGATCATTATCCGTAGAAATATGTGTCTTGACACTAGCTTCGCTATTATTGGACTTCGATATGGAACTTTGTCTCTCGCTTTATGTATTTTTTTTGTCATCCCCACCAATCACAGATCGAGATATATCCTCCGATTTCAAACGCTCAAACTCACTAATTTTCAAGGCTAGTTCAACTATCTTAGACTTGAGAGACTCGATTTCGGATCCTTTCTTTGATGAGTCTTTCTGGGATAAAGCTAACTTACTTTTCAATAATTTCATCTCATTCCAAAGCGATTTAATCTTTTCTGTTTTTGTAGCATTCTTAGCCTTGGACTCTGCAAGCGAGATATCTTTGCTAGCATTTCCACTCTGTAGTTGCATAACTTCATCAATAAGTTCGAGATCATGGGTACGTAATTTCTGAATCTCGGTGTTGGCCCCTCCTAGTTTCTGACTCCACTTATTTCTTTCCCGATCCCACCCTCTCTTTCTCGATCAAAATCTTGCTCTTGCTTAATACATTTATCCCACAACATACTATTATATTCACGCAATTTAGAAGAGGATTGGAGGATACGATGTATTTCTTTCTCAAGGTTCCGTTCTC